CCATCTGCGTCAATTGAACTGCTGCAGTCGTTTTGAAAAGGAATCTGGTCGGTGTCTAGTAAACGAGTTAGGAGATTGAAGGTCTCGATTGGCTGTTTTAAAAAACACTGAAAGTTAGAGAAACAATCATTACAAAACAAAATGCATACCATTGATTTTAGACTTATAGTCTGGCCACTAGTCGCATCTGTATATGAATCATTTACAGTGCCGTAGTTTTTCTCGATTCCATGATACTTGTACAAATGATGATACAGATGTTTTTCAATCAGCAGACCGTCTTCAAAGTAAACTTCAGAAGGAATGAATTTTGGTGAGTTTGGAGTGTGCCATAGGCGGCATTTAAATTGGTCTCCCGATTCACTTGATTTAAAAAATGAGAAAATCCACTTGTCTTTTGCATCAATTCCAGTCGCTGTTGTTGGAAAGTCGAGTGTATGATCATCGTCGTTGATAAAAACTTTTTCTGCTGCAGCAATGGAATCAGGTAATCGAGTAATGTTTGATAAAACCACAAGATTTGAAACGAATGTAGGATAATTGAGCGCTTCAACTAGCTTAGAGTATAATTGATGGACGTCGGGCCGCTGAAAGAAAAAGATGCGTCAGATAAAGAAGAGACGTCAGTTAAACATTGATAACAAACACAAAAGTATATTACCACTGGCAGTAGAGAAGAGGATGTCTTGAGATTTTTGTAATAATCAGAATGTGAAAGTTCAAGGTGCTTGTTTGCTTGGACTAAAAGTTTTTGTCGACAATACAAATTGAAGCCAATTGGTCCACCGTCGCGATTGTGTGGCAAAGTGCATTTGATTGAGTATGGTTCTACGGCCAATTCAAAATGCGACAATATTGTCTTTTCGCGTGCAGTAAGCTCGCACAACTGGGAAATGTGGAGATTGGCGAGTGTTTTGATCGACTCCTGTCTTATGGCTCGAAGAGCAGTTGTACTCTATGAGAAAATTAAAATATTTAGTTTATCAAAAACACTCGAATTTACACAATTTACCTCAACACGCATTTCTTTGCACTCAGAAATTTTACTTTTTACAAACGAAATGCGAACTTCCCTTTCTGTTGTGTTAAGCGACTTTGCAGCAAACAAAAAATGCTCGTTTGGTGGAACGTTAAAGTCGAGTGCTTGTTCGAGGGCTTTCTTGACTGCTTCAACTTTTTCATCATCCGTTTGAAAGTCAGATAATAAACTAGACTTTTGATGTTTAGTCAATTGACGTTTAGGAATGGCCAAAATTTGAATGAGCTCTTCGTCGAATGGGTGATTCACTGAGACATATTGATCCACCAGATTAAGACGCCGCTGAACAAAATCAAATTTGTTATAAATGGTTGCAAATGACACATCTTTGCTTGTCGCTAAAAACTGGCATCTGTCTTTGTTTCCCTCAAGGTCTGGATGCAATTTTCTCAGCGTTTCAACCTCTGTATACGTTTCCCAGTTGCTGAGTATGCGATTGTAATTGTGCGATCCTTGTTTAAATCGATTTATTGCGTATTTGCGCTTTAAAAAATCAAGTGTTAGATGGGAAATTAAAAAAGTTTTGTTATACTTACAGTGGTTGATTTAGAGTTTCCAGCTGTTTCCTTGTCTTTATCATTTGCAGCAGCTATTTTAGCTTTTGAAAATTTACTCACTTCTGACTTTGATATACTTAACATTTGAAAAAGCTCATTGTCGAGTGGGTGATCAGGAGTAATTGTTTTTCCGGTCATTTCAATTCGAATCAGCATTTTTCCGTACTTTTCACTCATATTGCCCCATGAGCAGTTCTTTCGTCTAGATGCCACAATTTTATAGCGCTCTTGCTGTGTTAGATCAGGGCGGGTGGCAATCAGCTCTTCCATTTCTTTGAAGATGTTCCAGTTTTCAAGGCACCGGTTGTAGTCTTTAGAGCCTTTCACTGGAAGTTTTGGCTGACGCTGTAATGTAAACGAATGTTAGATGCTGTATATTCACTAGTACGAACAATCTTACAGTGCTGTGATTCGACGTAGAGGGTCCAAGATCGGGCTGGCTTTCATCACTTCCTTCGACGTCCTCTTCATCAGTACCAGAACTCTCAGAATCAGTTGAATGACGAGTGTGAGATGCAGCTGAAGGAGTATCGGATCGCTTTTTGAAGAACGAAGTAATCAGGGGAATGTTTTGAGATGCACCTTTTGACTTTTGCTTTTTTGAGGTAGTTGGCTTAGCATCGTTTGCTGGACGTTTGAGCGGAAACTAAACAAACACAAATTGATAAGTACAAATAAAAGTTAAGGAAGAGAAGTAGTACCTGAATTGGCGCATGCTTTGGTGGTGATGACGATGAAGATGATGCGGACACTGCGGCTGAACTGGTGCTTGGGATTGAACTGATCAAAGTGGTCCTTGGCGCACTGGTTGAGAAGGTTGATTCGAGTGATTGATCGACACTTCCAAAAGGTGCACTGTCGCTGGCTGATTTGGGTTGGTGAGCATCGGAGACCATGCTGGAACTGCTAGTGGATGGACTTTGACGGAAAAGTTGCACTTTGAAAATGCCAGAACTGCCATCATCACTAGCACTTTGCGACTAAATAAAAACAATTATGAGTGAATGAAAATGATTTGCACTATTAGGCACCTTGTCTTCTTCAGCGGAACTCAATCCCGAATCAACCTCGTTGCAGCTAGAAAGCGATAAACTTTTACTCGAATCCAGTTTGTCAGTTTGCCGTTTGGCAGGTAACTTTGACCCTTTGGATCGACTCTGTAAAAGAATGATAAAAGTTAGCATTTACAACAAATTCAGCAGCGATTGAAGCACTCACCAAGCCGAGAGATCTCTTCATGTTTTTGAAATACCATAAAAGCGCAAATAAAAGTAAAATGGTGCACAAAGCTAGATGAAAAATTGTAAAAGCGAAGAAGAAAGCTAAAAACAAGTGAAAACTGTTTTACAAACTCGACTGATGCAGATCTCATCGATACAGTGATTTGACAATTCACGTAAACGGGCAGCATTTTTCCAATCACCGCAGTGGCGCAACAGCAGTGTGACTCACGTTCATCAAATCTTATCAGTTTAGATGGAGGGGTTTTGTAGATCTAGATTGCAAAAACCATTCACAAGCTTTTTTCACAACTGATTTGATATGTTTGTGCTTAAATGTATTCTAAATTGACTTCATTTCATTAGTGAGATCATTAGTGGGACAAAACGTATTGTAATAAAACTCTACCTGTTTGAACTCAAATAAAATTGGCATTTTGCAACTTGAATTTTCTGAGTAACGTACTGTATGGGTGACCCTAAAAAATTTGTGTTTACAATTTTTACCTGACAAAAATTGTAATTCATTTGAAAAATCCTTCCAGAATAATCCTTGATTGCCGCATCAACTTGCGAAAAGTTGCAGGTTGTAAAAAACTATGGAATCGCCGGAAACAACGACAAACAACAAACAAGCCAGGTGATACATTTTCGGTTGTACTTTGAATTTAAAATGTATTTTGCCTTTTAAACTGTCTCGGCAAACTGTTCTCGCCTTGAACTAGTCTGGATAGCGATCCAAGACTTGCTCTAGTCAGGCAGAGGCATGCTGAGCTTCGCGATCACTTGGAGGGCATCAACGCCAGCTTCCGAACAAGAAGCTCGTCTGAAACTAGGCTCAGTCATGTCTTTCAGTACGTTGAAAGCACCTACTTCTATGAAAGCGCAGCCAGATTTGGATTCGCCACTAGACTGAATCGTTTCTACAGTTCTTTGCGAATTGGGTAAGTGGTAAATTGATTCAAGACAATATTTTCATTCTTTGTTTTTTCAGGAACCGGTTTGTCGCTAAGGTGATAAGTGTGTTTGAACGGTCGGCAGATGTGCGAATCATTTGGTCTCCAAAACGAGATGTACGGGATCTGAAAGTGAAAGCCGTTTTGCGAATGGTTGAATCAAAGCGCTACAACAATGGTCATCGATCGTCAGAAAGCTACCGCCGTCAAAACAGCGATGCTCAACAGAATAGAAACTTGGATGTTTCCGAGCTGATTTATGTTGAACTGGTCAGTTTTAACGATGTAAATCGTAAGATGGAAGTGATTCGGTGCAATTCTCTGATAAAAAGTGAAGACCGGTCTGTAGAGGAAAGTCAAGAAGATGATGATACAATGCTGAATGAGGACAAATATCTAGCCAAATCTTCTAGTGAATCATTTCACGAGTACATGATGAACCACAGAGACCTCAATAATCCTTCGCTCGTAAAGCGCCAGATTTGCTCATCACTGATACACAGAAAACTTGTGGTACAATCACACGAAAAGAAACTTGCAGAAGGTCGCAAAAGAAGCAATGATAAGACGACTACCCAGGAGGACGATGATGTTGTTTTTCTTGATGAGCAAAAAAGTGCAAATGAAAGTTTATCTGCAGGAAGCAAGAGAAAACATAGTGAAACTCAACCCCGAACTAAAAACTCTCCAAAGTCTGAAATTTCAAACAATGGTGAATCTTCGAAAAATTCAGATTATTCCTATCCCGAAAGCCGTAAACGGACTCCAGTATCAAGCGAGCGAGCCGATCAGATACAAAAAGAGCGCAGGAGTTATCATCGGTCACCATCATTACTGTCACTGTCATCTAGTAGTTCCGAGTCATCATCAAGCAGTAGTAACGATTCACGCAAAAGGCATAAACATAAAAAGCACAAACACAAGGGGCACTCAAAGAAGCATTCCAAAAAGAGCAAGAAAAAGAAATCTCGAAAGCACCGGAGGAGAGACTCATCCAGTCGGAGGTCAAAAAGTCCAGGACCGAAAAAGATTGACAACAAAATTCTGGAACTACTCAATATGACCAAATGATTGTTGCTATATTAAAATTAGAATTGTGGTTTGTTATTTTTGTGTTCTATTTGACGAATACTTGGGTTTGAAATTATGGTTCAAGAGAACAAATTGTGTTTAGAAAATTGAACCTTTATTAGCTGTCAGCAAGTTTAGCCACCGTTTCTCTGCAATCATGTCTCGGAAGAGTCAGGGCAAAACGGACCTGGAGCCTCGGGGCAAGTCTCGTCGTGCGACCGGCTGCTCTTCCGATACCTCCATCGACAGTATCGGCATGGCGGGCACGCAGAGTCGCCACTCATCGGAGGACTTTGTTCCCCGTCTAGTGGCAGAAGGACCCATTCCCGAAGGTCAGACCACCTACGACTGCATTCTCTTTCTGTTCCTCTGCGAGGAGCACAACCGAATCGCCATCCTCAACGTGGAGCAGACTCGGGTGGTGTGGTTGCCCTTTGTGGCCATTCCCTCGGCGAACAGCTGGGAGGAGGCGGCAGAGGACGGACTGCGCCGCTTTCTCACCGTCAGACCGGAGGAGAGCATCTACCAGGAAAAGGAAGCTAAATCGCAGAAACCAGCAGAGACCACCGACCTGCCCAAGTACAAGATGACCACTGTTCACCTGCTGCGCTTTCAACTGTTTTCAGGCAAGTTCAAGGTGCGCATTACGCAGTTTGTGCGTCTGTTCAAAACTGCTGGGTAAGATTTGCTGAAGTACTACATTCGGAAAACTTTCATTATCATATGTCCTCTAGATACGAATGCTGCCAGGACAACCGATCTTTGATGTGGATCGATGCGCGCGAAGTGTTGAACGACGGTGTTAAATGTGGTCCTCTCTGGGGCCCCGAGGTGAAGCTCTTCACGGCAAACCTCATCAAAACTGAGACCAAGTTCATTGCCGAGTTTTGCCTGAGTAAGGTGCTCGCCCTGATCAACCACTCGGAGAACAGGCAACCACCGAACAGCGGAGGGCAGCTGGCCGTCAGCAGGCTGCTGGTGAACAACAAGACCAGTCAGGAGACACTGCTGGCACTGTACGAGGATTTCATTGAGTTTTGCTTTCCATCCTTCTACATGTGCTTTGAGTCATTTAAGCAGTACTTTAAGAGGTACAACAAAAATGACGCCGAGCAGTTGTTCGGTCTGTTCCGAGGCGTCTCCAATGCCATCAACCGAAAGGGATACCTTGACTGGTCCGAGTTTGTAATGGCGGCGTTTTGCCTCGACCCAACAACTGAAAACGACGAAGGCCGTTGTCTTCTGCTTTTCCACTACTACAACCGAAATGGCAACAACCAAATGGAGCTGAGTGACTTCGTGAAGATGCTCAAAGACCTCAATCCTTCGCTCTCCGATGAACGACTGACTGATGAAGTCATGCGCCCGCTGATGCACCTGTGCAACTTCAAGGAGAACAAACTGTCACTGGAGGACTTTCAGCAGGCGATCAGGAAGGACGTGCTGCGCGGCACTGAGAAGCTGCTTCGTGCCCCCATGAGCATCATTTCTCCGGTGGTGAACGAGGTGAAGAAGCGCTGGCAGAGCACAGCACCCGACAGCAAGAAGGCCGTCGTCGCGAAGAGGCGTAACCGAGGCACATGTAATGGCTGCCGGGCGCAGAACTTTCAGTACTGCCTGCACGCGGTCACCTTTGACACCACTGGCCGGTGCGTCAATCCCATGAGGATCAGCAAGTACGAGGGTAAGGAGGAAATGAGGCTTCGATTTTGACATGCCAAATTCTGATGATCACCCCTTGCTCTCTCCAACTTACAGCTGCCAGCGCCAACCAGTCGATTGACGCGCTCTACTACTCTGCCGAGATCCGCTTTGGTACGGGCATCTCCTACAGCTTCATTGACGTCATTCGCAAGCGCGCCAACATGAGCAATGTCCTCTTTACGCCTGGCCAGGACAAGGGCGAGGTGCTGGTGAAGTACATGGCCAATCTCCTGGAGATGGCTCGAGTGCTGGTGAAGAGCGAAGAGCGACTGATGAAGATCAACGCGCCTGTGGACGTGATCGGCGACCTGAAGGGCAGCCTTCCGGCGGTGATGGCCATTGAGAAGCTTCGCTGTCCCACGGTGCCGGTCATCCAGTCGAATCTGGTCTTTCTGGGCAACTACATCTGCCCGAAAGCGGCCAACAATGTTGAGGTGCTGTGCTTTCTGCTGGCGCTAAAGACGCAGAGCCCCAACAAGGTCTTCCTCCTGCGAGGGCACAATGAGTCGAATAAGGAGGCTACGCGCATTCTGCTGAAGGAGTGCGAGGCAAAGTACGGCAGTGTGGCCAGACAGGTGTGCTCACTGCTGGTGTCCGTCCTGGAGGTGCTGCCCTTTGCGGTGATCATCGACGAGTCCATTCTCTGTCTGCACTCCGGGCCGCCCATCGTCTCTGCCGGCAATCAGGTGACCATGATCGCCGACATTCCCTCACCGCTGGCCAATGTCGAGGACAATGCTGTTGCGCTGGAGGTAGGAAATACAGAAATATCTTCCAAGGCCAACTTAATCTCCCTCCCTTATCCTCTGGCAGATCCTCAGCGACACGCCCACCGAAGTTGCCAGCGGCAATGGACAGGAGTTCACGCTGAAGCAGTTTCGCACCTTCATGCAGCTCAACAGTCTGTCCTTTCTCATTCGCGGCAACTCCATCTCCACATCAGTCAACATTAGCCACTACACACTGCACTTTGAGGCGCGCTGCATCAGTCTGGCCTCGCACACCGCAAAGCCGATGATTGTGCTCGTCGATGCCGGCAAGAGGCTGTACGGCAAGGCGAAAGAAGTCAAGGATGTTTCGCCCATTTTGAGAGTGGTTCAGCTAGACAATTCACTTCCAGTGGTCAGCAAGAAAGAATGACCCCCTATGCAATGTCAAACTTTTAATTTCCCTAAAATAATCAGTGCTTTTTGCTTGCCTCCTTTTTGCTGGCTGCCTTCAGGGTGGTGGCCTTCTCCGAGGGCGACTTGGCAGCTTTCTTTGACTTTTTGTTGGACTTTTTCTTACTCTTGGCTGACTTTTTCTTGGGATTTGTTTTTGGCTTGCTGTGCGGTTTCTCCTGTTTAGTTGGCGACATGGTGGTCAGTGGGGAAAACTTGGCCTTTGACTTGCTGCCTTTGATCTTTTGGGTGGTCACTTCAATTTCGAAAAATTCTTTCGATTTCTTGGAGCTTGGGTCTTTAGAGTGACGCTTTTTTGAAGGCTCCTTCTTCTCTTCTTTGAGATTAACTCCCAAATTAGCGAAAAGGTGTTGCACCTCATCAACTATAACCTGTGCCACATTGCGAGCATCTTTCGATGACTTGCTTCGACTTTTTGGGCGTTTAGGTGTCATTTTACTGTGACAAGCCATGGAGGACTTTTTGGCGCCTTTGCACTCACCGACCTTTGGACTGCCCACTTTCGGCTTCTTTCCGCCGCCAGACTTTATCTTTGAGTGCTTGGCTTTCACGCTTGGAGACTTTTTTGAAAGACACTTTTTTGCCATGTTGCAACTTGCAAATTGTATGACAATGTCTCACATTTCTCTCACAATTATCTGTTTTCGGAAATCAACTGTTGAAACTCAAAAATAGAACTGTGCTTACAGACAATAAAGTTCAAGTTTAATTACATTAATATGAAACACTTGTTTGTTTGAATATTCATTTTTTGTAACGTCGAGAATGTTCTTTGGCTCTGCAGTAGTAGCCAAGTAGGGTACACTTTTCGCAAAGATGCTGCGGATGCTCCTTGCTTTGGTCACTCACATCGAGTCCATCCGGTTTCTCCAACGGTCTCTGCAAAAATAGACTAAACTTGAGTAATTGTTAAACAGTTATTTTTCTAAATTACCTGCTTGTGAGGGTACACCATAATGTTACACCGAATACACATTTGGCCTGAGTTTGCCCACGAGTTGCCTGACATCCATTTTCTGTTGCAGAGCGAGCATTTGTACTCCCCAAAGCATCGATTCTTTCCCTGGTATGGCGTCAATCCTGCTGATTCAGAAAAAAACGTTAAAGTATTCGACAAACTATACCATTCCCACCTTTTTTTACTTCACTCTTTGCCATGAAGTTTGATATTGGTGAAAGCAAAGCTGAAGAACTTTGAGGATAAAAGCAAGGAATCACGTCTAAAATGATTCACGCATCAAAATTTTTGTGAAAGTAAGAATATTTCAAGAGCATTTTCACAAAAGGCGTTACACAGTTGAGCTTACCTTGGCTCGAAATTGTTCCGTGATCCCAAGCGGCTTTCTGATCAATCCCAGTTGTAGGAAAAAATGAAAAGAAAGTTTGTTGGGGCACTAGTTGCGTATCAGCAGCAGTCCCACCAGGCAGTGTAATAAATGGCAAGTAATCAGTACTCGGCAAAAAGACACTCTGACCATTAGGCAGTAAAATTGCTTTACTCAATGGTGGTGATGCCGTCTCACTTGATGTGCTAACCGGTGAGCTTGAGTTGGCTGTAGTAGTGCCCAGAGAGGAGGACTGTGAATGTCCATTCGGCGTTTCAGGAAGGGTTGATATGGTCGGTGGGAGGTAGTGGTAGGACTGAGGATCGAGTGGTATGTTCGACGAAACACTCGATGGGTTTGTAAAGTAGATCATTTTGATTGTTTTTTAAACAGCAAAATGACAGTCTTTTGAAAGGTATTTTTGTCAGACAGTGATACGTGGCGTTCAGTCACGATTCTTCCTACTGACTGAGCTTTGTTTAAGAAATGGTGAGTTGATCATTCTATTGACGAAAATTCTATTGCTAGTATTTTACTGGTGGGTGTGGTGCATTGTATCTTGTTTTAATTGCAAAATATCTAAAAAATGAGGATCAAAGAGCTGTCGTAAAACGTACTCATAACTTAATGACAGAATGAAGACGGCTGACAATAAGTGAACAATTCTTTGAAGAAGTATTAACTATTCTAGCAGCTGCTTTGTGCTAAAACTGAGTGTAGTACGAATCACAGCTTCCCACCAAGACGGCGGTGTCTAGACACAGTATCATAAGAGGTGCTATTCCTGTCTCCCATCAACTGCTTTGTCTGTGCGCCTCTATTCTTTTCCGCCTCTGTTCATGTATATCAACCTTAGCACCGTTCTCCTAACCATAATACCCTATCTATTGTTGTTATCTATAGCTCTAACACTGCTACCTCTTCTCGTAATGGTGGCAGCTAAATGTCAGCGTGAGCTAAAAGCAGTTTTCTTGCGGAGGCAAAATTAAAGTGCTATAAAGAAAGTCAGCCTGTGACTTGATGACAGTGCAATTAGCCGGAAAAACTGTCTCGTAAAAATATGACATTCTTGAGCTCTGAATTTGACATTTTTTTCTAAGGTGGACTCAACCAAAAATAAAAATAAAAGAAAGCAATTAAGGGGGGACAACGCGCAGCACAAAATATTTTCGAATTTTTTATTTTGTCTTTCATGTCAATAGTTTTTTTCACCAAGATCTTTGAACACAAAGGTACCCACATCGGTATCCTAGGAAGGAGGCATGACTTGATTGAACTTGCCAAATGAAAAGTAACAAAAAAATCTAGATTTTGATCGTCTTCGATTTGCTGATTTAGCTTTACTTGTTTTTTAAATTAATTTTAAAGTTAGACTTTTTCCATTTTTTTGAGTTTTCATGCTTTTTCATCCAAAATCTTGAATCAAAAATCGTTCAAGAAAAACTGAGACCTTTAAAAATTAATCGAAGACGATCAAGTTTTAGATTTTTTCGTTATCTTTTATTTGGCACCTTCAATTAAGCCATGCCACCTTCCTATGATACCGATGTGGGTACCGTTGTGTTCAGAAAACTTAGATCGTTGCTGATGGCGGCTCAGTCATCGGAGAACCATAGTATCAACACAAAACTGTTTTACATGAAATTCTTAACAATCCTTATTAAGTACATCTTTCATGAACATCATAGCCACCCCAAAATCAAAATTCGAAAAAGCAGTCAAAAAGTGCGCGGTGTCCCCCCTTAATATAAGACAAGTAAAGAGCTTGATTACACTGGTCGACAAATCAAAGTAGTTCTAAATATTCCTAAGATATTTAAATTGACCTTTGCTAATTCAAGTACGCTGAATCCAATGGTGTCAACCATTTTTTAATCTGATTGTTTAGTTTTTGAGATAATCGATCTTGAAAGTTCCAAAATGGCCGTTTNGAGTACGCTGAATCCAATGGTGTCAACCATTTTTTGATCTGATTGTCTAGTTTTTGAGATAATCGATCTTGAAAGTTCCAAAATGGCCGTTTTGGGCACTTTTCACCACTTCATTAAAAATAGTTACAGCTGCTGCCTGTTATTGAGTAAAGACTTTTCTGAACGTTTATTACCTCATCTTTTAAATTCCGAAGAGAGAATTCAAATATACTGCATAAAAACATTTTTATCTGATCTAAAATCTTTTTTCCACTTTTCACCTAATTTTGGCTTCCCAATGGGCCACTTAGGTGCATTTAGGCACAAATCAATTAAAAATTGCAAATTTTTGTTAATTTAAAAAAAGAGTGTTTTGAAACTTCAAACAAGTAGATAACATTTTATAAATTAAGTTAATGAATTTAAAAACATGTTTAATTTAAAAACCAACGTCAATGAGCAGGTAATTTAATTTTTAGTTATAAGAGAAAAAGAAGCTGGATTGACTATTTCCACTCATACCGCTCAAGCGAAATTTTGAACTTCAGCCATTTTGTTTTGGCCTGGATATAAAAGTTTATGCAATATATTTGAATTTTCTCTTCGGAAATGAAAAGATGAGGTTATAAACGTTCAGAAAAGTCTATACTCAATAACAGGCAGCAGCTGTAACTATTTTTAATGAGGTGGTGAAAAGTGCCCAAAACGGCCATTTTGGAACTTTCAAGATCGATTATCTCAAAAATTAGACAATCAAATCAAAAAATGGTTGACACCATTGGATTCAGCGTACTCAAATTAGTAAAGGTCAATTTAAACATCTTAGGAATATTTGGCCTGTCGACCAGTGTTAGTAGTTTCAGAGCCCGCCAAAGCCTTTGAATGGTGAAAACCCAATGGAACCATTCATAGAGTTTGTTTTTTCCACAGTGATTCTCTTTCTCTCATTCGCAAACTCGTAAACATTTCAGTACACGTGTGCTTCTGTGAATCCCAAGTGGAATCCCAGCGTCTAATGTTCCTCCAATTCAGGTAGTGTAACAACCCTCTCCTTCCCCAGGGCATCATTTAATCGAGTCATCATCATCATTGCAGGTAGATAGCTTCGATCTCAACCGCCGACAGGGGCGATGCAACACTGTTGAGTACGTGTCATAACACTCCGCGATCAAGCAGATAACAACAAAGCATCTTGACACGAGCGGCCTACAAGCGGCTTCACCACTTTCCGCAATCATGTCTTGGCTTCCCTTCTGCCCTTGTCAGCTGTGGAAGACAATTCTATCGCTGTTAAGCCTACAGAATCTACTCTTCTTTGGCCTTTTTGTGCTGGGAGTCATCGTCATACTGATCATCGTCTCTCGACTCACTTCTGATCGGCTCCCAAACATTGCCATCTACAAATCGGAACGCTACTATTTCGATCCTCAGTCTGGTGAACGGCATCCACTTCCTCAACTCGGGACGACTCTGCTCTCCAAAGCCACGCCCACATATTCCGACTTAAGTCCTGCAACGCTCTACCTTTCCGTAATCGTTCCCGCGTACAATGAAGAAACGCGCCTGCCGGTCATGCTCGATGAAGCTTTCGGGTATCTCGAATCACGCAAATGTCGCTATGAACTAATAGTTGTGGATGATGGCTCAACAGATCGGACAACTGAAGTTGCTCTTGACTATGTACAAAAGTACGGCTCAGAGAAGATTCGCGTTATAACACTGGAAAAAAATCGCGGCAAAGGTGGTGCGATTCGCATTGGAATCCTTGCGGCTCGTGGCGAGTTTTGCCTCTTTGCCGATGCTGATGGGGCCACCAAGTTTGGTGATGTAAAAAAACTTGAAGCGTTTATTTTTGCAAAGAAGCAAGCTCATTCAGAGAAAGAATCTACTAATGAGAGTAGCAGTTGGGATCCATCGGAACACTCTATCGCTATTGGCTCACGATCTCATCTCGCCGCCGAATCAATCGCCCGACGCTCTGTATTCAGGACTCTGTTGATGCACGGCTTTCATTTAGGAGTGAGGCTGCTGACCGTCCGAACAGTAAAGGATACGCAGTGTGGATTCAAGCTGATGCCACGAAGAATTGCACACATTCTCTTTACGCACACTCACATTGAACGTTGGGCATTTGATGTGGAGGTTCTTCTTCTTGCTGAGCGGCTCAAGATACCCATTGGCGAAATTCCCGTCAGGTGGACTGAGATTGACGGATCCAAACTGGTGCCCTTCTTTTCCTGGCTTCAAATGGGAAAAGACGTGTTTCTCATCTTCTGGATGTACGCTACAGGAGCGTACCAATACCCCACTCCCCCTTTCGATGGCCCAATTCACAGTCTAAGTCGCAGTACCAAGAAATCTCGCTAAACACTGCTGCCGCGAGCCTTCTAACTTGTGATGTTCTTTCTTTCAACTGTCAACTGTGTAAATCAGGTGTTTCAAGTAAAATAGGGACCCATTTTTATTCTTTCTTTTGTAAAATTTTTGTTCATTTTGTACTTTTTATCGTCGTAAAAATCTAACTTGATTAAAAATATTTATATATTAACGCGGTTGTGAAAATAGACTTTATATCGCGGCAAAAACTACCTAAATTGCCACTTTTTCACATGCTGATGATCAAAACATTGACACATTTTTAGGTAATTTTGGATGATAATCTTGATCTTCTCGGTATCATTTAGTGCGTTTTGGCACGTTCTACGTAGATTCTGTTCAAGGGAATCGCTAGAAGAATCAACATGGCATTAACTCGAATACAACTGGGGTTGTCTTCATCAGCGAAGCTCCTTTATGGGCAATTGACCGGCAACAGCAACAGCCTGGTCAAGTCAATGACTCCGATCATTCGCCACCGCAGTTCAGCATCAAAAGAGTCTGGAGAATGGGATCTCTACGCAGCTTTGTGCTTACAACGGACACCTGTAATTGGTCCTGAACTAAACTGGATTGAGAGGCGGCTTAAGGAGTACTTAAACAAGGTGGAAATTGCTGATTCGCTGTACTCTGACCACGAAATGAGACACTTTGAGGATTTGTAAGTACTGTTTAATGTAACAACAATATTGATAAATAACACTTAAACTTTGAACAGGCGTCGAGCAGAGCGCATTGCATCTGGAGTAAATGTTGCAGAAAAAGATTTAGAGGAAGCAGCTAAACAAACGGCTCAAGACTTTGAAGAAAGTTCACTTTCAGAGGCAAACAAGTTCGTCAAAGGTTCACGAGTTACAAGTTAGTTTGTTTTAAAATGCTTTTCCTTTGTTGTTAACTAATCTCATCTTATCTGCAGAGGCTGATCTTACAAATAACACCCGTTCCATTGATCGCTCTCTCGACAAGCATCTTTATTTTGTCCAAAAACGCAACGTGGGCTCATCTGATGTTTGGATGCTTCCACAAGAGCACTTCAACTCGTCTACAGATCATTCTCTCCGCCAAGCGGCGGAGCGTGCTTTTGATGCTATTTTCCCCAGCCACTCAAAAGATCAAATTAAGTTTCTGGGAAACGTTCCATTTGGATACTATTGGTACCGCTATCCAAAGCCAGTTGCGAAAGATTTGGGAACTCTTGGCGCCCGCTTGTTCTTCTTCAAAGCAAATCTGTACACCGACTCCTCAATCAAGGGCCCATTTGGCGAGCGAGTATTGTCACCAGCCGATGAAAAGGAATTTACATGGTCTACCAGAGCAGAACTTTCTAAGCAGCTACCACCGCGGTACTGGAGAACGTTGGAGCGTATCATCTACCCAGATGAGCTAGTCGATTTAGAAGCCCTAATGCAACAGAAAAAGAGAAAAATTTCTCGTTTATCGAATCGTTTGCAGAAGTTGGAATCAAAAATTGACGCGAATGCCTCCATTTAGAAAGCCTTCATTTGTGTATTATACTTGATTTAATTAAAACAACTAGTTCAATAAGTTTTGCAATCATCATTAGTTAAAAGTTCTATTTTGAATAGACTGAATTCGCCTTCACATGTAGCTCACCTTGCTCTTGCGCATCACTAATTAAAGTGACAGTACATGCACAATGATGTTCGGTAATGAGGCATGGGGAAATCAGCGCTATAGAGAGCAAGAGAGAGAGAGAGAGAGAGAGAGAGTGTGTCAGTCTGTCTGTCTGGTGAAGCCTTCCCACTGAACCAGTGGAACGCTGTGCCGTATCTGATTTTGCGCGTGCTCCCAAGTTGAATCCTGAAATTTGTGCCTGTGTGGCAGTGTCTGGTTGCTGCTGTTTACTCGGCTCAACTGCTAACTGCGTAGTTCAGAGCCCGACGCCGACGCTCCATCCCCTGACATCCCTTGCAGCCGGGACAAACACACACGAGACAGCGAAATGGCCTCTCGCAACGACCGGAAGCGACCGAGAACGTCCACTTTTCCCTTTGAGTCCGAACGAAGCAAGAAGGCTCGAATGTTTAAGCACACGGCTATCTATGAAATGATCGATCTGATTGAGCACAAATGTCCATGGAAGAGGGAGACTCGCGAGAAGGTGATGGCAATATCTCAACAAGTAAGTGGTTGATCGCATCCGTGTTTGTATCATTCTACAAGTTGTCTCGGTCTTGCTTTTTGTCTCCATGTTTCAGGTTATTGATGATCTATCCCCATTCAAGTCAGGGATGGATCCAAATTGGAAAAAAATAAGCGATACCATCAATGATCTTCGAACTGTCATTGGAATCATTGATACGCCCGTTTTTCAAGTGGTGGCCAGCTATGAAGCTTTAAGTCTTCTGATGACCATTGCAGAAACTTTACAGCTTTGGGATTTTGACATCGATCTGCAAAACGATAAACTTGATGATCCTCTATCGGTTAATTTTTATTGCAATTTCATTCAAGTACGCCACAGCTCTTCAAATTTGCTCTGGCGAAATAGAACTGAAAGGTCTAGAGCAGAGATTAGATTTGCATTTCAAGATGATCCAATCGACTAAAACTTCTTTCAGATATTATCTGACAACGTAACCTATATCATTTCCCAATTAGTTTTTGAAAAAACCGCCATAATAACGATGATTCCATTTGTCAAAACAGACACACTTACAAATGACCTAATGATTAATTAAAAATATCATTATTTTTCCCATATATTTAAAAATATGTTTTAGAATGCACTTGTGCATTGCCTATAAAAAAGTGTTGATGGAAAAGAGAGATAAAGAAACGGAACGACTGTTTCGAAGAGTGAAGCTTCCCGGCAATCAAGTCATCTGTCTGTCTGCAGACAGTCTGTTTACCCAAGAAAAAGTGTTTCGGTACTGTACACAAGACACTGTCGGCAGCTACTACAAACTCACAGGCGATCTCAATTTGTTGCTAATTTGTTGCTCACTGCTCACTCAATGTGGCTGGTGGATGTACTGGGACTTTTATTCTCAGTCGCTGTTTACACTTGCCAAATTGGTGCGAAAAAATGAAAACGACAATTGAGTGTGTGTGAAAGGATGAAAGAAAGGCTGCAGTGAGAATGAGCCTGATTGACTGGCAGCTAAAGACAGTCGGTGCGAGTCAGTTCAAGCTGGCAAATGATGCAAACAGTGACACAATGCTCAGGCACAATGCTCAGGCAGGATGTGCGAACAAAGGAAAAAAGTGCTGAATTAAGCTGTGCTGTGCTCAGCAAGCCAATTAAGTGCACTGAATTTCAGTCATTTGCGCGGATGCACTGCTCATTACCTCATTCTCTGCTCCTTCTCTGCTCTAATTGCTGCTGTCAATCTCCTGCATTTCTCACCGTTTTAGCACTTTTCAACCACAACAACATGGGACAATATTTCAGTTAATGCAGCCAGCAAAAGTTAAATGAATTAGTGATCTGGCAGATTGTTTTGACCGACTGTCGTCACTGGTGCCAACACACAACTTTACCCTCTATCAGTTGGAAAGCTCCAATTGCCCCATCACAGCTAAAATCACTTTTGCCACCAGTATGACAGTATGATAAATGCCAATGCAGACAACATCCTGTGGATTTTCTTTCGCACTTTAAAAGGCGCATGCAGATGAGGATCAAGAAGACTCTCTCTCTTTCTATCTGAAACAGAGCAGACTCGTCGATGGCAGTCTCAACAGAGTTGAGGTCGATTTAAATAGACAAACTCCCCAGTCAGCAGCACTCGACATGACTCCACTTGCACATCATAGTGGGGAGTCAGAGTCTGACTAACTGACTGCAGCAGTCTATTCTGGGCAATGCAGTCTCTGAAACTCACGCGGATTCTTGCCTGCCGGATTCAGTGTGTTCTGCTTAGTTGACTCTGCAGCACACTGGTGGTGTTCACTTCGTACTCGGACACGAATGCTATTGCACAAGTGTGCAAGTTGCCAACTTTCTCACCCAGTTCGAGCTTGTTTCACGGAAAGAAAGCCTCTAACCAATTTTATTATATCATCATCAGCAACACCGGCTCTCAGTCGTGCTTGACACCTTTGTGTAAGATTACTCCAACAATGAACAACTAGCAGTTTTAGAAAAAGCACTTTTTGTCACCGGAATCGTTAACGTATTTTTCACAATTATATAACGTAAACAGTCTCTCAACAACGCTGATTCTTCTGTTTGTTTAAACTATGTGTATGTTTTACAGAATTTGCAGATTTGCAAAAGAAAGTGTATTTTGATTTATGAACAACTGACTGCTGTTTAGCAAACAACAGCTACAGTTCATTCTGTTTTGGCACTAAATAATTCAAATTCACAAAAGATACCTTGTCGCCTGCACTTTCACGATGACAAGCAATCACCACTCACAACTGACCTCAACGGTGGACATCAATTCTCATGCTCAATCTTCAACAGCTTTCTCCTTAACCAGCCAAGTGATCTCAAAGTCCGATGACAATGCTCTGCCACACACTTTAGTTTCCCAGCAGCCAATTTCTCTTTTGCCAAGTGTGAAAACTTTTCGTCCGGAAATATATCAGCTTACCTTTCCTGCCATTTTAAATCAAGACTCTGACACCGATGAGGATGACATATCGGAGGATGAAATGTTTCCTAGTTCACCAGTCAGTAAAACTGGCACCTGTGATAATCAAACGAATTCAAGTTTTTCCATTCAACCCAAACCAGCTGAAACGTACATCATATTTGACCCTAAAAAGTCAACCAATGGCCAAGTTAGATCTAGTCGACAATTAATGATGACGCGATTTTTTCCTGGAAGCAGCGCAATTGTGACTCACAAGCCAGAGAGTTGCTGTACAATTATGTAACCCAATCTGTGATTTCCTGCCATAAAAGAGAACAAAGAAGATTTATTTTGAAATACAAAGTGAAATTATTTAAACAGTTTGTATAGATAAAAATAATTTCAGAAAAATGTAAATATTTTTTGTTTATAAAACAAATGTACATAAGAGAATACAAAAATTGAATAAATAAAAAGTATAAGTAGAAAATATCAAAAATTTGTTGTACATTGGAAGTTGTATACAATTGTGACAGAAAAAAAGTGAGCAGTTAAAATCTCCAAGGTGGCCCTAAAAACGAAATGAGTTGTAACTAAAATGATTTTTTGTTTAAATAAGAAAACTTACGTTGTCCTTTGGAATATCGTTGCTGATGACTGATCGATGCTCTAGAACCGCCGGCTCCCCAGGCCTGGTGGGCTTTCGGGTTCCAGGCAGCACTGTCCCTGACGTTGCGAGCATCACGGTACTGCCCATTGACAATATCCATCGAGTCGTACTTTAGGTTACTTAAACTTCTTCTCGGCTTCCTGCCAGTGGCCTTTTGCCTTTCAAACTGATCTCGAATCGCCTGGCTATTGAAGGGAATCGGATCATCGTAAATGGACTTGGAGGGATCATCCACCATCATTGCAGACTGTGCACCCTGTGTGGCTGTGAGCATTTCCACCCTAGTGTGCTTTATTGACGATTTGCGAAGGCGGCGAGGAGCAATTGGACCGAATCGTCGTTCGTATTCAGCCTGAAGGCGAGCTGTGAGACTATTGTCTACACGCGCCTTACTGAACGGATGCTCATTGTCCAGTTTGATGAACACACCCTGGCTTGGATAAAGCTGATCCACCGACGTGAAGGCTTCATCCAGCGCCACGAGGTGATATGACTCGGAAAGGTAGCGAAATCGCTGTTTAGCAGCATCCTGAAGTGCCTCGTCCTCCGAATGGCGGATCAGCTGTCGAAGCTCTTCCAGTGTGACACCACCTCCTGCCTTTTTATTTTTGCTTGTCCCCGCTGGCACGACTACCTTTCCAACGCACTCCTTCTTGGGAATCATATTAACATCTCTCACTTTGTAGATGTAGTACTTTCGATCTTCATACAAGTCTCCGCGTAAGTTGTAGTTTAGATCAGGAGAGTCAGCGCCCTCTTCGCCCTCTTCCTCTTCGATGGGTTCGTTGAAGAATGATGCATTTGGATGAAGAAAGGAAGCTCCATGTCGACTGCCACTTGGAGACGAGTGCTTGGACGAGTGTCTGGGGCTCAACTCGCCGTCAGGTGGCAATGCGCCTGGCAAGGGGAGCCATGAGGTGTGACTAGTGCCGTCCTCTGCATCCTCTTCAATGATTATGGGCAAAGAGGTTTCTACTGCTGGATCTTCATCAATCTCCTCCTGTTCTCCTGTTTCTCCTTCTCCCTCCTCCTCCTCTTCGTTGCCACTGTCTTTAGAGTCCTCCACTTCGTCAATGGATATCTTCACCAGGGGTGAACTTTCCCTTCCCTCTGTCGGTGCAGCACTTTGGCTAGTTGTGTTGAGATCAATAGTTTGCGACCCTGTTCTTCCTTCTTCTGCTTCTCTTCCGCCTTCAGCTTTACCAAGAAAAGGGAGAATGATACCGATGATGAGTAAGGGAGGCCAGTGGGGCATGCGATCGGTGCGTTTCGAT